CCTGTACCTTCAGTACTCACCAAAGCCAACTGAAACCTGGCATAAAAGCTACGCTTATGCTTTCATTTTGTCTCGTAACTTGTATGTGAGGTAAGCAAAAATGTAACGAGTTATGCCCCTTTCCTCTACTTTGCAGATCAATCGATTTTTGAAGGAAGGCATTGTCGGAGCAAAAGAGAGAGGTAGCGGTTACCTTAAAGTCAAAGTGGAAGATCTCGACTACATTGAGCTACCTCGCGATGCAAACAGACAATACGTTTATTGAGCTGAGGACGTATTAAGTGGCAGCACGAAGACATGAATAACGAGTATCCATTGATTGATATTAACTTTTCCCATCAGACGCTCCTTCAAAATGGCAGTTGAAAATCCATAAATCAGTACTACCATAATTTTCGCTTGGAAGTACAAAAGACTCAACTAAACAAGGGATTAAACCGGCAACCACAGAAAAACACTAACATACTCTATTAAAGAGTATAATTTTCTTTCAGCCAATGTTTGCTGAAACCACAGAAAGTGTCACAGCCTTTTGTGTCATTATGACGATTTTGTTTCCTTCCTTTGGATTGCTACCTTCGAGCAGGGTCTACTTATTAATATGCTCATGCCATTGTATAGTGATCGCTATACATAGAGTGGTACGTTTACACTTGTAAGGGGGGTGGTAAAGGGAATTTTCGTGATTCGCGAATAGCCTATTTTTTATCCCGTGACAATAATATGAAGACAACAGTAGACACTATTTTTAAGTGGCCTTAAGCTACAGGATGTTTTGCAGATTTTGCGAAACGATCTACACAAGAAGTCCAAAAGTTAATCTTTAATCGATTTCTTAGTGGTTCGATAAAATACCTGTAAATCATTTTTAAATCTAGAGCAAATCGATTTGTATTTTTGAAAGGAAAGTTATGAGAATTTTTTGAAACGCGAGTCGCACCCCTGCAGCAAATCTGCGGGTTATCCGAAGTAGAAGTTCGTATATTAATTTAACTTAGTTTTTATTAGTTACAAAGTTAAGTTAATTGTAAAGTATCCATAGCAAATTATTGTATTTTAAAAATAAATTGAAATGACTTAGGGATTCATAAATTACCCTAACATGTAAGGGTCATGATTTTGCTGAAAACTTTTGGCAAACACTTTCCATCAGGTGCTCTTTTCTTCTCCTCTTTATCCGCGCAAACGTTAACACCTAGAGTGGTTTTCACAACTAGGTAATCATGTGATTAGGGTTAACCCTCTGACTCTCAAGATCTGATTGTTAATTCTCTCCTCTAACTGCTACACATTTCCTTGTACATTTGTCAAGAGAATTTGGTGTTAGATGAAGATGACAACTTCTACCTGATGAGTTTGAGTATTCTCATTACCTGTTTGCTGGATAATATAAGGATATTACAGGGAGTAGTTTCATGTTGATCACTTCTGAAAGTTAAAGTGCTAAGTGCGGGGAGATTTCACTGTAAGAGGATAATGTCAGATCACACAATTTGACACAAAAAGAAATGGCTTTTAATTCTGTCCAAAGATTATAACTTACAAATGGAAGAGCTGTTATTCCCTGCTACAAATAAATCATCACATTTCCTCTTTTACATTGGCAATTTGATATGTTCATACAGCTGACATAAATCTAGAAGTTTTACTTTTTTAACTAAAATTGTTCATCTAACATGAATTTTCAGTCTGCAACTCTAGTACAACCAGTAACAAATATATACAAGCCATGTAGTCTTCACTGTGCTTGTAGTCACTGCTTGGTTATTTTTTAGCCTAAGAAAAGCATTGTTGGCTCTGTAGAAATCACACCCCACAACATGAATTTATTGTCAGGTCTACAGAAGCTCCTAAAACTACATGTCAAGAGTTCAGTAGAAAATCAAGATCAAATACATCGATATTTTAATAGTTTGATGAAAACAATACATTTTCCTAAATCTGCATTAATAACAAAATTCCTATTAACAAACCTAATTTGATACATATCCTGAAGGAGTACTGAGAGTGATTGCTGCATAACTCAGACAACTGATAACCAGTAGTTCTCCAAGGTTTCACTCTTCTTTTATGGCTGGCTTATTCATTTGCCAGATGCAATAGTTAAGTGCTGTAGCCAGTGTAACCCAACCAAGATAAGGTAGCATGAGTCCTGCTGCAAGTTTGTTGATTGGGTAGAATGTGTAAACACAACCAGCAATATTCAGCCAAAGGAGACAAATCTCACCAAAAGCCTTACAAAGGAAAGAAAATCAAAATTGTTATAAATTATGTGGCGAGTTGCAAATTTTGGCTGTTGTTTTGTTTCTTTGTGGAGGGAAGGAGGATGACAGGGACCATTTAAGAAACATTCTCTTGATTTAATTCTACTTTTCTAATCCCTTCATCAGTCTTACCTTGTTAGGAGGGAAAACTGGATAGAGAGGGCTTTATATCTCCTCAACCAAAGGGCTTTGTGTAACATTGAAGGAAAACCCAGTGCAATTTAAGGTGGAAAGGGGGATCTTTAAACTGGTGGTTTTAGAACACATTCCTTGAAAGCTATAAGTAAGCTGTTAAGCTTCCAAACTCCTTTTTTTAACACCAAAATGGGTTAAAACTAACACTATTGTGATTCAGTGGCTAGTCTGCATATTACCCTTCAAACTCTTAAAAGTAAATGCAAAATAGCAGAGCATCATCATTACCATAATCATTTTAAATAAGTTTTAAATCTCAAAAGCATTCTTTACCAGCCCCAACTTGCGTGAGCCAAAGAAAATGGGAGTCCATAACCAGTTCAAAGCCAGGTTTGTCCCATACAGGGCCAGAGCAGTTTTTGCACTGCCATCAAATCCTCCACCATCTCGCCATACAAGATATGACGCATAACCCATTCCAGAGTACAGGCTGGTCCACATTGGCCCAAAGAGCCAGTTTGGAGGTCTCCATGAGGGTTTCTTTAAGTCTAAAATTAATGTTTAAAATTGAAGATAACATGGAAAATTCCCAGTAATTGCCTCAAGTTGGCTGAAGGAGTAAGACAAAAGCTGAAGAAACAATAATAAACCAAAAGGTAAGAAGCACGGCTATGGAAATCACTGAGAATATCACAATATTTATTTAAACTTAAAAAGAAAGGGAACAAACTATGACATAACCTCCTTAAACATAAAAAAGTATACAATTATGATATGGTGGAGAGGGAGGCCTTTTACTATATATTTAGTCTATTAGTTAATATTTTAAGAGAGGGTTAGGTTGGGGCTTAAACCTAGTAGGGGACTTATGTCCTACTGTTTTTGCTCTGGTACTGCTCATACAAATCCTTAAATAAAATAAATAAATAAATGCTGGATTCCTGAAGAGTGATTTCTTCAAACGCCAGGAGGCAACAAACTCAAAAAAATACAGTAAAATTCAAAAGTTATTGGAAAATCCTTCATTCTTCTAAAAAAAAAACTGTTAAAATCAAAGGTAGTTCCAAAACAAACACTACAAAATCAAAATGGATTAGGTGACACCTTTTCCCATCATTAAATTCACATGTTCCATAATCAAAAAAGGATCTGATTTTTTTTTCAACAATCTTTTGACTGCTGGCTGGTAAAAACCATACACCTGTGCTGTCATATTTTTCCTCAAAAAGCTACGGAATTCTGAGCAAGTAGCACTGATAACAACCCGTTAAGTTCAGCTCTTGATTAAGCTCAGTCTCGTATATACTGTGCAACTAACTTTTATCTTTGATTAAAAATGATTTTCATGTTAAATATGCAATAAACTGCCAGTCATTTTCAGGTACCTTTGTCAAACCAGTCCTTAATCTGAGATCTGGTTATGAATCCTCCAAGCATACCACCAACATTTGGCAGTAAGACTGATCCACAAATTAAAACCCAGGGTTGTGGCATATTTATCAGTTATCTGCTAAGGTAATAGATAGTGACCAAAAGTAACTGTGTGTAAATTAAATTTACATTAAACGTGTACATCCCTTCATCATTAATTTTCATGCTGCTTACTAAGGGATCAGTGATTTCGTCAAAACTACTTCCAATGCATCGAATGGTCTTCTTCCACTTAGGAACAGCTAGGAGAAGCTGCAAAGCTTGGATGAAATTGATTTGTTTTAATGGGTACACCAGGTTTACAAAAATGAAACAGCTCTGAAGGTTTACAACTCTTAACCTCTATGGGTTTATTATTTACCCCCAAAAACTTACATTTCAAATTCTTACAATTCCTACAAATCACATCAATAGATGCTCAACAACAAGCAAATACTGAAGATCTTCCAGTTGGTGTAAATAAAATATCCATCAATTACAATGGAATGAAAACAAAAAATAGAAAGTGCAAGAAAAATGGGACAAATGAGAGTGTTTTCATTAAGGGAGAGGGGAGTAGGGGAGTGGAAGGGATTGCATGGGAGGGGAGAGAAGAGGATCCACGTTCAAATATGAGGAACTGTGAAGCGAATTCCAAACTGAAGCCAACGCCTACAAAAGGTTGACGAAAATTTGAACACTCGACATATTTTTCAAGCTTTGAAAGCGAAAATCCTGAAAGGGCTTGCTTAAATGCCATCGTCACAGTGCGTGATCATTACCTTCTTACGTAATCTTTGACCTTTTACAAAACAAGAGGTACATTTTCGTTTAAGTGGTAAAATAAGTTGCCAGAGATCTGGCGGAGATTTCCAATAGCTGCATCGATTGAGAATATCACACAAGAAGGATTAAAAATGAAGTTACCACCCCATTACCTTCCTATGTTCCGTGCTTTTTCAATCACTCAGGTGTTGTGGTTGGGAGAAGTGAGAGGGCTGGAGACAAATCTTAGCCTAGTCTCTCTCGGCCTTCATATCTTCCGGCGATCAAACGCCCTTCACTTTTTTGCATAATGAACAAGACAGTTAGGAAGTTCATGAAGTGAAATGACTCTTTCGCCATATGTCCTTGTCACCTTCGCTGGTGATACGAATTGTTCCTGATGAAGGGGAAGCTGTAGACTGGACAGTTCATCAGAATATCATTTTTCGAGATGTGTTGGTATGTTAATTGATATTTAGAACTTTATTCAACAGCAATTTAATGACATGTTTCAGAATGTTCGTCAAGTGCGAGTTGATATTTTGGCGGTGCTTGACCTTGGTTTAAAACTACACCAGGAAACATGAAGAACTATAAAAACTATTATGTTTTTACCCTTTCATTTTAATTTGTGCTTTTGCTATTAGGAAAGCCGAAAAGGAAGGCCCATTTAATTTGGCATCATATTGTCACTAACCATCAACTAACATATATATAAACTTACTTAACCTGTAATCTCAAGGGAACAATCAACCAGATTGAGACATTCTTCATTTTGGGTTTTCTCATACTGTATTTCTGTTTTTTTGAAATGCTTTCATGGACACTAACCAGCAAACCATGTCGTAATTTACTTCTGTTTATGAATTTAAATCCCGTGTTCTCTACAGTATAAGTTAAGTTTCCTTGTTTTGCTAATGAAATTATATAAAATTAATTGACAATGTGCTATTATTTGCTGGAGAAAATACAAACATGCAGGTATTAAGCTAAAAAAAAATAGTAATGAATACCAAATTATGGGAAGTCGCTGCAGTTTTTGTGTCAAAAATTCGCCTCTCTCATGTATCTTGGCTAACTTCTCAACCTCCCCTTGCTTGTTGATGACTGTTATGTTGTTTTGCAGGAGGCAATATCACAGGTGATGCCTCATGCTACAGCCACTGCATTTGAATGTAAGCACAATAATTAGCTGAAAACCACAAGCTATGAACCCTGTCATCATCAATATTGTACCGGTGAATGGAACTTTTTGGTCCACACTATAATGGTCAACATACAGGACAAGTCCATGTAGTTGATTTGTATAGGGAATTTGTAATACTGACAAAAACTATTTAAAGTGAACTACAAGGATTACATGTATATGTTGTAGATCAATTTTATCCTTGGTTCAAATTTTATTTTCCTTTGTTTCAAACTCATTATTATACATTAACATGACCGAGAACAATGGAAAATAAAATTTGAACCAAGTATAAAATTGAACTACAAGATGTACATTAGTTGGTACAGATCTGAGCTTTCATACCAGAGTTACAGTTAAGTCACACATGTTGAGGTTTGTGTTCCCTCTCCTGAAAACCTCATTTTTACCACAATTGGCAGTGATGTTGCAATCTGATTGGCCAATTTGCCATTGTAGATAAGAGTACAGACAATGGTACTTGCGTCAACATGTTATAATCTTGGTCATGAGTGAGGTCGCATACTTAAAGAATTGTTTTGTTTGATATATTAAATGATTATTGTCAGTGGCAAAAACAAAATAATTAACAGTGATTTAACATGGTCTCTACTCCTATCGACAGCAATATTTGCCATCAGAGTGGTCAAAATTTGTTGTGGACTCACTTGCAGGTCCACACCAGCCTTTGGGTTGCCACAAACCGACCTGCCTTAACAAAAATTATATGTATGTATGTATATGTATGTATGCAGCCAAAGTTGTAGCTGTAGCATAGTCTAAAATCTGGAATTTTTTTCAATTATTTCATTCTATGATTGTGTACTTCTCTACTGGATATAGATGAAGATGAAGAAGGAGATAGAATCACTGTTAGAGGTGATGAAGAACTTCAGGCCATGATCAATGGGGTAAATAATTGTAATAGTCTAATTTATTAGATTTTAATTATTTTGAATCAGTTCTTAGTCTTATAGTGGCAGGTGGCAAAGAAGTAATTGTTAGAATGCACAATGTGTGTGTACAACACATTGAATGTATGATATCTTCATGAACAAAGGCAGATGCATCAGCCTAAAATTTCAATGCTGAAGAGAATACAATATGATGTCCTTTAGCCTTAATCTAAAGTTGTTTTCTGAACATTTAAAATGTCTTGAAGTGACCCTTTATACTTATTCGAGTACTTTCTCCATCAATTTACTTAATAAAGAGGGAAAAAAATAAATTATAGATTACTGGTATTCAATAAACTATTTTTCAATTCCAACTTGTAGTTTTTAAAACAGAGCCACAAATTGCTAACCGTGTTTATTACTGTAATGTTCAAATCCCTGAACACAGCACACCTGGATGAACTGTGAAAGGCAAAGAAGAGGAGTTTCACCAGAGCCATTAATAGTTTATCCTAAAGGTAGTTAATTGGATGGTGTTATGCTTTTTGAAATGTAAACGTTGTTTTATTTTTCATTTACACAGAGAGACTGTATGACTGTTTATTTGTTGTGCTTCAAATTTAACTCAGAATTGAAACTTTTGGGACCAGGGTCTATTTTAGATTTTTCGTCCCAGAAGATAGATCTGAGGTAAAAAAGAGCCAAGTAAAACTGATTTCAATAAAAAAAGTTTTGAACTATGAACAATTTGAATCACAAGATAAATTATATGTGTGCAGCTGGAGGTTAATATATATTCAACTATTTTAAAAGCTATCTTGAAAATGATCATAAAGCCAAATTCACATCTACTGAAATTACACCGTTTCATATTTTTTGCTTGTGCAGCTTGTAGAACCTCAAGAAGAAGGAATTTTTGTGGACTTACTGTAAGTACAGATGCTACATGTACCTGGTAGATTTGAACTACTGTCAACATAGTGTGAATTTCTAAGCACCTACTTCATAGCTGTCACTAAATATGCATCATTGACAAAGTGTGTGGTCAAGATGGCTGGATATTGGCTAAGTTCTTTTTTGCATTTTTAGGGATGATCAAGATAAAGTCAAAGTCCATAAAAATGCAAAAAATGAACAAGGCTAATATCCAGCCTGTTTATTTTGAGATCTGGGGAAGCTAACTGTGTATTTAGCACCATAAACACATAAGATTTGTTTATCTTTTCTTTGTTTTTACTGTGTTCTTCCCCTTCTTGTAACTCCATAGCAGACATTGTCCAAAAATTATGACTTCTTTAGTCTGCTCCATGCAGTGTTTTCCTTGCTTTGGATCAAAGCGAGCAATCCCAAGCAGGCGAGATTGACCCATCTTGCCTGCTCATGTGGCCAATCAGAACAGTGGAAACTACAGCACTACCAGGGATACAGCAAGAATAAGTAATTCATATCTGAAGTGGTCTCCTCCAGCTGTGAATTCATTCATAGATAAACATGTGACACCATTTATTGAAAATTACGTCTAAAAATTTTGTTTAGGTCAACACAAAGGCAGCTGCAGTAAACAATGCTGTACCAACTAATGCAAGTCTGCCTACAGAAAGGTAACTTGCTGAAAAGTTGTTTTTGTACTTCTAGTTATGTATAATTTTTTTTGGTCGTGTTTACCCACTTTCTCTGATCAGTTCAAACGTGTTGACACATTTATTATGTCAGCGTTAGTCTTAAACTATCTTATTATCTTAAAGCTCACACAAACCAGAGAGGGGAGACATACAGATTATTTTAGAAAATGGTCAGGTAAGAGTGATGAATGAATTTGAGATAATTGGTCCCTGCTGAAAAAGACCAAAACAAAACAAAACAAAACAAAAGCCTGAAGAAAATGTCTTTTAAAAAATATGCCACCAAAAAGAGGTGCTAATAAAAAGAAGTGAAAAGATTAGATGACCTTTGAAAAAATGGAAAAAGAGATCATTTATTTTATCCCAGAGTTTCATTGATTGAAAATTTTTTTCAAACTCTATGTTATCCAGTATCAGTTGTCTATCATCTGGGAGGGTTTGCCTCTACAGTTTAAAATTAACACAATAAGGAAATTTAAAATCAAATTGCTCTGGAAGAAATGATGCACCAACTGAAGGAAAATCATATGAAATGAAATAGAGTACACCCAATTTTACACAGTTGCACTAACTTGGCTGACATGCGGTTTAAGGAAATTTTGATAAGAGTGGCTCCGAAGTTGTGGACAGGTGGCCAATAAAGGCAGTCATAGTTTTAATGTGCACAGCAGTATAATATAGTAGTCTTTAGTAATATGATTCAATAATTGATTGAACTATCAGGATGAAATAATTTTATAGTTCGGTAACTGCATGCGCCATTGCATCTGTAGGTATCTCACACTGATATTCAGTATCTTGACATTTTGGGCCATGGAAATGGAGGAACAGTTTATAGGTGGGTTACACACCTTAATTTTTTTTTTAATTTGGAACATATATTGTTAAATGTACTGTAAGTGCTGTAACCACTTCATGTGTAAGAATGTTCTCTAGTAGATAAATTGAAAAAAAAAACTGACCAAAAATTGTGTTGTTTTTTAGCACTGCAAGGAAAAAAAACTCTCATGAATTCAGTCTGTCATTTTCAGCTGAGCCTTTCATTTTTTCATTTGCTCATGGTTATTATTTTGTGTAGGGCATTACACACAAGCACAAGTAGAATAATTGCAGTAAAGGTGGGTATCTGGATGTATTTTGAATGTGGGTTTGTGTTATCATTTCTTGATTACTGACAACAGCTCCATTTTTTGCACATTCTAAAATATTGCTTTTGAAAATTTACATAATTATTTAGTGTTGTTTTGAAATACTTTGAACTGCTGGAGTGCCATTTCATAATTGATTTATTTTGTAACTTTGCTATTAGTTTAGGTTCATGTATGAAATTTTTACATTTGTACGGAACTCTTACTTGTCTTTCCATAGTAACACTATATTAAGCTCTGAATGACATTATCTTCAGGTGATTCCTCTAGATGTAACCCCTGATGTGCAGAAACAGATCATATCTGAATTGGAAATACTTTTCCAGGTAAATTTGTATTTACTAGATAATACACCAAATTCAA